GTGAGGGCAGCGGTGACTCGGCGTCTCTCGGCGGCTGTGTGGCGTGGTCTGGTAACTAGGCGTGAGGCGCGGTCATGTAGGCACTTGGCCACGCCCCTCTTGACGGACACTGGGTGGTGTGAGTCAAAGGCCAGGTACTGGTCGGTGTGGGTAGGCTTGCGATACACGGTGCTGGTCAGGCTGCCGTCGGGTTCCCTGTGGACCATGGTGTCCAGGAATGCAATGCTGTTGTCTTGCTCATTCTCGATGGTGAACTGGATGCTGGGTTTGAGACTGTTCAGGTGGTTGAGGAGACGGCTGGTTTGATCTTGTGGTGCAATGACAAAGGTGTCATCGACGTACCGCTTCCACAGGGTAGGACGGCAGTCGGGTGGGCAACTCTGCAGGGCTTCCTCCTCGAATGATTCCATGTACAGATTGGCAATAACCGCTGACACCGGACTACCCATAGCTGCTCCGTCTGTCTGTTCGTAGGGTGGTGTGATGGGCCGAACTCTCCTCAGTTAGGTCTTGGAACTTGGCGAGTTGGCGGGCCTTGCACTTCTCGAACTCCCGGCGGCAACGGCGGTCGATATGCTGGGTGAGACGGGCACGGTCAGCTTCACTGAAAGTGGACCGGATCTGGGCCAAAGTGGAGTCCACCTCGGCCTCGATGGTCTTCTTCGTGGCTCTGGTCAGGTGTATTCTCTCATGCATTTACTGAACAGCGTTACCTCCTGATCATTGTTGAATGGAAAGTTCAACTGGAAATGTAGTTAGTTACAGGTCTTCCATCATCCTTCATCCAAATAGTTATAGATAGGATAATCACAATTTATAGAAAATTAACAAGTTCAGTAAACTCTTACTAAGTCAGCATTGTGTAATCCGTCATGTCGTCCAAGTTGGCCGTTTGACATAAGTCCTGATCGTCTGTAATGCATTTCCATTGAATATTTCATTTCAAAGTCGGCATTTATAAGATGTCATTTCATATAAGTCGGCATGTTTTTCTCGGTCCCTTTTCCACAAAACCACAAAAATTCCTTTGTGTAAGTCGGCATTAAAAAATCACACTTCGGTATCAGTTTCCTTTGCTGTGGTTGCCAAGACGTGTCAAGTGACAAGTCCTGTGTGCGCGCACCCCGTACCCTGCATGAGTACATCAATATCAGTAACCCCCCTAGTGCTATACGCATGCACTTTGTCCATTTTGGGTGTCGCCTTATTGAACGTAGTCTGGTTCCCTGCTCAAAGATCGCGGACGACCCTTGATAATGATTCATCGACTAGTCGGAATCATCGGGTCTCTTATCCAGACTATATTGAATAAAATTAACCAATGGCATGTGTGGATGAGCGTATGTTTCCTGTACCGTAACTTAGTATCATGTAGATGTACATACTGCACTGTCGAGTTCTGATGTGATATACAAGTGGCTTGCCGTCCTTGCTTCGATCTTAGGGGCACATGATTAATTATTGAATTTGCAGGATAATAATCGATAAAGAATTTGCTGGGATCGACCATGGAGGTAGAAATAAATTAAGGTAAATCAAAGCCATTGAGTTAGTGCAAGGAATCATAATGTACATGTACATTAATGTACATAGGCAATACATGTGTAAGTGTACATGTAAGTTGGCAAAATGATAAATTACAACACAAATTGGCATTTGCGTAAGTCGCCATAATTTCTTGAGTCCTGAGAGTGCCAACTTAGCCGGAGTCTACTGTATTTTTAACAAGGGCTTCACTCATTTGAAACTCAGCAAAAGGCTCTCGAAAAAACTCAAACAGGAAAGCCAACACTGGTTGGTGACTTTTTGCTAGCTATCCATTAGTTGCACACGTATACTGTACTTCTCCCTCACAAAGTTGTTCCACATGATTAACATAACAAATTGCAGACAGTAGGTACATAGACATACATTGTAAATTTCTAATGTAATTACCTTCAGTACGTTGTGTTTGCAAAATACAAAACTAGAAGAGTGCGCTTTTTCAATGATAGTGATAAATTAGCAGCTTAAGAATTCCCTTGACTATCTTTGGTTGCTAAATTTTTTCTAGTTTAAATTTTGCGAGTCATTATTGTAAATGTTCAGTGCACTTACAGTAGAGACCACTTCCAAGCATGGTCTGCAAAACTGAATTTCATATTGTAGATTTTCAAGGAGATGCCCAAGTGTCTTTCGGTAAGTTGTGGGTGTGTGCTGACTGATGTTGTTGAACATCCTCATTGCATAAGGATGAGGATAAAGAAGTTTATAGGTGCTCTTTTCCTGGTCAAGATACCTGTATTGTGGAGTAACTCATGAAATAAGTTTACATGCAGTGTTTTAAATTCGAAATTTTAAACTTAATGGCCAGCTTTGAGAGCATATATGCAACTTTAAACATAACTGGAGCTGAATTAAACTTGGTGGTCTACCACACTGCTTCGACATTTCAGAGAACCCTGCATACATGAACCACTTGTTGGAATGGCATGAGTCAGTCACTTCACTGAGTTGGACCTACTGTACATGTACATGCATGCCATGATTTTGGCAACTTTAATAACTTCGCTTGAGTCTGAACTCGAATCGAGTCACTGTGACTTCTCTGTGAGCAAATAAGTCCCTCATTGGATGACCCAACTTGGTATACCTGTACAAGCCAAAGGCTACCGGTAATTTAACTATGTGTAACACTTCTGTCCTTAACTGTGAAATAACTGTACATGTACACATGTAGGCTTATGGTACAGATGTACAGCATGTATCAAACACTGTTTTCCACATTTTGGTTTGTAATGGTGTGCACAATGTACATATACTGTCCTAAAATGAGACTGTAAACATAATTCCATATTGTTATTTGCACTTCATGTTCTGTGCTCAGGCCATTGGTCTACAGCCTATGATGGAAATCTGGCAGATTTATGGTATATCTTGAATTTTAAGAAAAATCTGCATTGGTACTGATCAGTTTAAGATTGTGATGGGAGCATACAGACCTGTAGCCAACCATCAACTGGTGTTTAATTTCTTAGAAACTGTTGCATTCATGTAGACATTTTGGTATGTAATACAAAACTGCTGCAAACTGCTTGCTGACTACAATGACCTAAATACAAATCTCCCTTCATCCTTTGCCCCTTTATCCAGCCTGCAGCTTTCTTGACCTTTCCTTTTGTCCTCGTGCATTCATCCATGCTTGGTTGATTCTCCGTGTGATTGTTTGTCCTGTCCACTTGTCATTTTGCCCTTGAGAAAGATTCTGCTAGGATCGAAACGTCTGGCCCTCCATATTCTGAGATATATATTTGGGTATATACATCCAGCAGAAGCCAGCAATTCCACACTGACCTCCCTTACACCATTCTTATTTCTCATTTCAATTTTTCTATTTTGGGGTGGGTCATTAGTAAGACTATTCTTTTCTTGTTTTTCTTGCAGATTTCCTGCCAATGAAGTGTGACACCTGCTTTAGAGTGTTTTGGTAAGATTAATTTGTATCCGTGAATGTATGACAAAGTGAGATGACGGAGTGGGATGAATTTTTTATCATTGGTACATATAGCTATGAAGATAAAGAGTGACCAACCGCAAACAGCTGAAATGGTTGCTTAAGAGAAATTTTACACATTACAATACAATTCCACCTCGCTAACTTCCATTACTGCAAGATTTTGTGGCACTTACCTACAACTCAGTGCACACAATTTGCCCACACAGCTCAGACGTGTCATTTCTAGTTACGAAAAAATTGACAGCTTTTTCACATATTTGGGAGACAGTTGGCTATGCAATCTGTAACACACGAGAAACAGCTTCACACAGAACTGTTTAAGTGAATGTAGTTATTGGTTTGTCATCAAATTACGGACAAAAATGTGGAAAATTGAGACTCCATCTCGAATCACGTGACTTCACTGAAGCCATGTTTGGTCACTGCAGGCAATGTTACTGACAACCTGCACAGGCCTGACAGTAATATTGGAACGTTGACGGGAAAAAGGTTGGATGCAACTGCCACCAAAACTCCGTCCACGGTCAGGAAAACCAAAGGGAGACTGCATGGCAGCCAAGCCTAAAGGACTCGTAGCTTCCAAGAGGAAAAGCGGCAGTTGGCAAATCGATTTTGAGCCTTTGTCCAAATAGATAAGAGTTGCTGGCTTCCCCCTCATTTAACCATGGTTCGCAAGTTCTTAGTAAACCTACTGACATAGCTAATACCTTAAACAATCATTTTGTTTCAGTTTTGTCACCACCTGTTACTGTTAGCGATGATCCTCCTACTTGCAATTTCCCTATTCCTGAGTTTTCCTTTATTGCATTTACCAATGGTGACATTCACAATATCATTAAGTCCCTCCCCGCTGGGAAGGCCTCTGGTCCTGGTGGAATTAGTGCTACTTTTTTGCATAATACTGTGTCTCCCATATCACCCATTCTTTATAAAGTTTTTCAAATTTCTCTCATTAAGGGTCAACTTCTGATTAGTTGGAAACTTAGTAACATCTCTCCTATTTTTAAGTCCGGTGACCGTTCTCTATTACTGTATTAATAATAGATCAGTCGCTCTCACCTCTTTGGTTAGCAAGTTGATGGAGAGGATTTTGCCAAATGGTATATTGACTCACTTGAATGACAATTGTCTTCTCAGCGAAAACCAACATGGCTTTATTGCTGGCAGGTCATGTGTAACCTAGCTTTTGAACGTTCACCATGCTTGGGTTTCCATTCTGGAGCAGCGAAGCACACCGAGGATACTCTGTAGATGCTCTTTTTCTAGACATCTCCTAAGCTTTTGATCGAATGCTTCACCATAATTTGCTTAGATACCAAACTTGCTGTCAGGTTCAACATTAGGGGTTCCCTTTGGAAATGGATTAAAGATTTCCTGGTTGGTCGTCAACTAAGGGTACGCTTTCTTGGGGAAACATCTGAAAGGGCCTGTGTCTTGTTAGGTGTGCTACAGGGGAGTGTGCTTGGACCCCTAATGTTCAATGTATTCATCAATGATATCACCTGTGGTTTGAAATCTGACTGTGTCTTACTTGCTGATGATGTCTTGATGTTCAACCCAATTAAATCTGATTTTGATGTTACTGTTGTACAACATGACCTAGATAAACTGTATGAGTGGAGTATTGACAACGGAATGACCTTTAGTGCTACCAAATCTAAGGTACATGTACTAATGCTTGTTACTAGAAAACGTAATCTGTATTTGCCTGTTTGTACTCTTAGTTGTTCTCAATTGTCAGTCACTAGTTCGTTAAAGTATCTCGGTGTTAGTCTGAATTCCCAGTTAACGTGATCACGAATGATCGCGTTAACAATGTTGTTTCCTGTGCTAACAGAATGCTCAGACTAATTAAGTCTGTTGCTTTTAATTTTTCTGTTCCCGCCAAATTATGCTTGTATAAGAGCCTAGTTC